GCTTGGAAAATCGATTCCCTGTCATGTGCTTTTATCTTTTTCCCTCATGCGAAAACTCATTTCATCTGCAATAAAATTCAAAGTGTGGGATGACCGAAAATCAATGGTTTCAATGTCAGTTGGCTCACTATCACTCGCATCCAACTGAAGCTCTATGTATGCCGCTCTACTAAGTCCCAGGATTTACTCACCTTTTTGATAACCAAACAGTAGGACCTCGTAATTACTGTGGTCATCTGCTCTGCTGTCTATAGTACCACAGTTGATCCACGATAATTATTCTGAGTGAAATATGCCTCTTGACCGTAATCAATACCTTTGCCCACTATGTTATCCCAATCAAATTAAGACGATCAGAGAGAACTACGTGCTTTTTAAGTATTATGATGACGACTAGATGCGCACACAGATCTGGCAGTCTTATGTAGAACTGTCACGTTCCTGAGTTCCACAAATCCTCTTAATTGGATTACACATACTACTCCGTTTCCCCTGAGCAAGGGTAGAAAGACGATAGGATAAGCTCAACGTGCAATCACGTCCGATTAATGACTGCGTGTACAGTGAGTTCGACCTGGTTTATACAAGACTTCCATAGCTACATTGGATCCAGCATTAGTCGTTGTGTCTACTGGCGAAAACACGACTATGGAGCTCGATGATAGGCAGGCATTCTGACCACTTTCGACCTGAAATCACTGATCATCAACAATTACCGATCAAACAACAAGTTCTCCAAGTGCCCCCTCACAAACCATTCATGTTTAACTTACAGAGTGCGCTTTATATTGATCGCAGCCACTCCTAAACCAGTTGCCACGTACACCATCATCTAAGACATTTATATGATGAATTCGTCGCGCAACTGAGGCGTGAGCTAAAGGCTGGGTAGGCTCTGGACAGCTGTTTCGACCTGACTGGGTCTCATCAACAGTTGGAATCCATCGACCCAACTGGAGATCGAAACCCGGACCGCGCAGGTAGAACACAAGCATACTACCACACTGGGCCACCGGGCAGCTGATTAGACCGTTTCCCGTCTAAGACACACAGAGATTCTGCGTAGGCAGTCACCCATCCGTTCCTGTTTGTTATCAAATCATGAGATGCAGCTTCTTACACCAAGCACTTTCCAGACTGTTTGTCCGTGAGTCATCTTGGCCAAGTCTTAAACCATCGTTTAACCAATTCTTTTCAATAAATCGTTCACTGAGTTCTGATCAACACGCGGTCTTTTGTGTTCTGATGGCCTGGGATTGATTACGTGTCTATACTAACACTGTACATTCGCGTTGCTATCGGATTTAGCCATGACTAGCTCAGCCTTTTGCCTTGCGTTCCCTTTAAATCATTAACTGCGATATCTTGTCTATCAGAAGGACATTCAATAAAAGGGCGATTTCTGTATTAGTTGAATGATTGTGATGCATTAGCAACACAAATTCCATCAGTTTCATTCTATAAATTCTAGAACAATTTGGCTATCCTTTGGTTGCTTTTATTTTCATTTCAAGGACTCCAATTCTAGAAAATAGTCCTTTCTCTTCGTGCTTGCATTTGAACATGGTACCCATTGAGACTCCTTTTACTTTGGGACGATTTACTAGGAAAAAGCTATGCTTCAACGATTTCAAAGCGTCGAACAAAAGGAATTATCAACCCCTCGGCAAATGTGAAAAGTACCCTTACTGAAATGTCTGCTGAGTGAAGATGAACTACTCCAAATGTCTTGGCACGACCAAATATGTTGAATTGAAGTAAACTTATTATTTCATAAAACGTGTAACAGAAAAGAAGTCAAGACATTTCAGCCTTCAAATGGAATGACTGTCACAAATTAAGGGTATTACAGGGAATTTATCATCCTCGGACCGGCAAATTCCGCGGAAATTGACCATCTCCAGTAAATCAGTGACATCAAAGTTGTTGCTAGAGCGTCCATAATGGATGGCCACCAACATGGTTAGGGCGTTGAATCGTTATTCTTACGCTGAGAAACTGAAGTCGCCGGGATTATATTCCGATATCTACCGACGCGNCAAATCATGCAGAATCCAAGCCATCCGCGTCTTTCACTGCTAAAATTATCGCCCAGCGTTCATCTTAGAGGACATGTGTTCAAACTAGTGCTCCCAAAATGCTGATTGGAATGCCGTCGTCAGTCATTCGCAGTCAAAGTGTGTTCGATCTGGAACTCTCTCCCATCCCAAGCCGTCTGTGCACCAAGCATTGAATCTTTCAAAGTGGGACTCGTTGCAGCTTTGGCACACCTTACATCCCAACATAAGTGGAGCTGCGTGCGACAAGGGAGGAATCCCGTATCATATGAAATTTTACTCAATAAATTATATGTATCACTGTCTTTTAATCACAACACGAACCTTTGGGACGAAGAAGGCATGAGTTTGTGAGTTATCCCCATAATAAATCTTTGAAGCTTCAAATCTTTGTTTCCAAATTAATAAGAATGTTTCGAAAGAGTAACCGGAGAGAAGTCTAGGAAAACAGCCAAATGACAGAGCAGTTGTCAAAAACGAGTCTCAAGCCCAGAGCCATAACAACATATCGATTTTTATAAGTTTGTCTAAACATATCGCAGTTCAAATGGTATCTCCCGCATTGGATATTAGGGGTAGTTTTAATTATCAGCAAATGTTAATAAAAGAAAACACGAATCGGTATCATGGTGCTCAAATTTATGGCTGAAGTTCATGTTCCAGGTACTTTGAGTTATTGGGTCCAATAATAATCCTCCTATGGACGAACAAATGCCTACCAGGCAATTTAAAAAAGACAAGAATGAGGAGAAAATCGACGCAAGTGCCTATTGACTGAATTTGAAGCCCGGTTTTGACCGAGACAGGCGGGTTCGTATTCCGATATTCGTACTTCGTGTTCAGTGCGCACTGAAAATACTACGACTACGAAATTTAACTTTATTTTCTTTCAATTAGGAACAAGAAACTGGGTTTTATTTTTGGATCCAGCAAGTAAAACTCTAAGGCATCACTGATAATTTGAGCCAGTACGTGTTTGGACGCAATACTATAGTGCCGGGTCTTTTCTAGGATAATGGAGTTAAGGTGTATCCGATAGCGACTGATATCCCTAAATAACCTCTGTATTTTCTCCAAATACTGATGAATAAAATACTTACAGATCGCTTCACATTCTGCTTATTCTCCAAACAGATACACATCAACAAAGCCTCAGTGTCAAACTTGTGCACAGGCATGGTGACAACCTTGAAGCAACCGATGGTCTCGTGGTCAGACCGAACTTCTCTCTTGTGCACAAGCCTGAAAACCAAAAGACTCGCTCAGAATAGTAACTCAGCTTTCGCGTCGTGGTTTTGCTATCGACAAACGTTTTCCAACGTTCCCTACCTCGGTTGTATTCTGCTCTATCCAAATCAATTGTCGGAGTTTTCTTCCGTGGTATGCAGTCAACATGTTTTAAAAGGTAAATATATATATATATATGTATGTATATATATATAAATATATATATATATATTTATACATAGCTCTCGTTTTGAAAATACGTTTTAGTTTTCAATATCATTTGTGTATATTCATAGCCATGGGTGAAGAGTATTTATTCCGAACTTCTTCCCAGACTGCTATGTTCTCAGTTATCTCATATCACTGTCTCAATTTGATCCACCTTAAATGTTTAGTAGTTTAAAAGTTACAGCTCAGAACTGAAAAATAGTTTAAACACAGCAGCATCGAGGTACATTCGTTCTAATAAATGATTGCTGTTTTATCAGGCTCTTTATTATGGTCACGTCAAATGTTCTAAACAGTTGATCTCCTTTCATTCAGCGCATAGCAACTAGACCGATCAATTAAAATTTTCTAGCTTCGACAAGTTGGCAAAGTATGTGGCTACAAAATACTTACGTATTAGCCCTTTTCCAAAAAGTACTAAACCATAAAAGTAGACCATCAAAATTTGACCTTCAGGTGTGTGACTTGTTGAATAAGCGATTTTTAGTGTCACTATGCCCAAACCAGATAAATTATCCAAGAGATTTTGGCACAAAGGTGAAGGCGAGAGAAAACTTATTTGAGGGACACAAATCTGACGACTCAATTCCTGACTTGCGCAAGTGCTTTGGTGCAAATATAAACCTAATTTATTGCATAATAAACGTAATTCCTCCATCAATAGATAAACTAAGATAGAGAAAACTGGATATATCAAAGCAGGACAATGATCTAATTTGATCACAGCTAAGAAAATGTGCAAAAAACCAATGTAGATGATAGTCCGAGATGATCATTTGCAATTTCTTCACGCCACCATTTGGAAAATGATGGCTTTATTTGAACTGTGGCTGATATCACCTGATGGGAAGCCGTTATTGAACGCCCAACATTAGATAGCACGTATTGATTTTGACAAAAAATTCGAACCGCGTCGCTCGTATATTTTACGATGGGTTTCTCTCATCGTTGCTTAATGAGCGATAGAGCAGGTGGAGATATCTGACCAAATGAATTAACTTTTCAATGAATTTCGTTTCACCCTTTAAAAAGAGTAAATTTCCATCCCTCCTAGAGAGTCAGACAAGGCCCACGAAAAAAGGTTAACGGAAAGTGAACTGATGCACCAAAAATTTTTGTTCGCGCAAAATGGGGTGATGTGAAACACTTCATTAGGATGGATTG